ACCAGCTTATAAGCTTGACCTTGGCTTGTTATAAGCTTGGTTTTTAAGCTTAACCCAAGCTTGGGCCTGGGCTTGTTATAAGCTTGGTTTTTAAGCTTAACCCAAGCTTGGGTAACCAGCTTATAAGCTTAAACAAGGGTTGTTATAAGCTACAAAAGTTTACTTTTTTAGCTTGTTATAAGCTTGATTTTTAAGCTTAACCCAAGTTTGGGTAACCAGCTCATAAGCTAAACCTTGGCTTGTTATAAGCTTGGTTTTTAAGCTTAACCCAAGCTTGGGTAAACCAACTTATAAGCTTAAGCTAGGTTTGTTTTAAGATTCATAGTTTACTCTTTTTTAGCTTGGTATTAAGGCTTAACCCAAGCTTGGATAACCAGCTTATAAGCTTAAACTAGGCTTGTTTTAAGCTACAAAGGTTTACTTTTTTAGCTTGTTATAAGCTTGGTTTTTAAGCTTAACTCAAGTTTGGGTAACCAGCTTATAAGCTTGACCTTGGCTTGTTATAAGCTTGGTTTTTAAGCTTAACCCAAGCTTGGGACTGGGCTTGTTTATAAGCTTGGTTTTTAAGCTTAACCCAAGCTTGGGTAACCAGCTTATAAGCTTAAACAAGGGTTGTTATAAGCTACAAAGGTTTACTTTTTTAGCTTGTTATTAGCTTGATTTTTAAGCTTAACCCAAATTTGGGTAACCAGCTTATAAGCTATTGGCTTGTTATAAGCTTGGTTTTTAAGCTTAACCCAAGCTTGGGTAACCAGCTTATAAACTTAAACTAGGCTTGTTATAAGCTACAAAGGTTTACTTTTTTAGCTTGTTTTAAGCTTTATTTTTAAGCTTATCCCAAGTTTGGGTAACCAGCTTATAAGCTAAACCTTGGCTTGTTGTAAGCTTGGTTTTTATGCTTAACCCAAAATTGACCATTGCAAATAAATTATTACTATACAAAGTAATCCTGAAGCAAATTTGGACTTATGGAATCCAACTGTGGGGAACGTCCAGTATGTCGAACATAAACATCATCCAACGATTTCAGTCAAAAGTTTTAAGGTTCATTCTGCAAGCCCCGTGGTATGTTAATAACAATATCCTTCACAAGTACAGTGGAATTCCTACGGTTGAAGAGGAAATAACCAAATTTAGTGCAAAATATCTAAAGAAACTTGAAAATCACCCTAATCACCTGGCTCTAAACCTCTTGGACAACAGTACCAGTATATACAGGCTAAAAAGGATTCATGTTTTGGATCTAAGCACACGTTTTGTTTGAACAATTTAATTTTCCCTTGTTTAGTTACATATTTATTTTTCTATTGAAATATTTTTAAGTTAGCTCTGTCAATGGACAGGGATTAACTAACGTTTTATTAAAATTTGTTATTGTATTTGCTAAATGTTCTAAAAATGAACGGATTGTAAATAAAATTGTGATATAAAAAAAACCAAGCTTGGGTAAACCAACTTATAAGCTAAAACTAGGTTTGTTTTAAGCTTCAAAGTTTACTATTTTTTAGCTTGGTATTTAAGCTTAACCCAAGCTTGGGTAACCAGCATATAAGCTTAAACTAGGCTTATTTTAAGCTACAAAGATTTACTTTTTTAGCATGTTATAAGCTTGGTTTTTAGCTTAACCCAAGCTTGGATAACCAGCTTTTTAATGTTTAAACCAGGCTTGTTATAAGCTTGGTTTTTAAGCTTAACCCAAGCTTGGGACTAGGCTTATTTTAAGATTGGTTTTTAAGCTTAACCCAAGCTTGGGTAACCAGCTTATAAGTTTAAACTAGGCTTGTTATAACCTTGGTTTTTAAGCTTAACCCAAGCTTGGGTAAACCAGCTTATAAGCTTAAACTAGGTTTGTTTCAGCTTTAAAGTTTACACTTTTTCAACTTGTTGTAAGCTTGGTTTTTAAGCTTAACCCAAGCTTAGGTAAACCAACTTATAAGCTTAAGCTAGGTTTGTTTTAAGATTCATAGTTTACTCTTTTTTAGCTTGGTATTAAGGCTTAACCCAAGCTTGGATAACCAGCTTATAAGCTTAAACTAGGCTTGTTTTAAGCTACAAAGGTTTACTTTTTTAGCTTCTTATAAGCTTGGTTTTTAAGCTTAACTCAAGTTTGGGTAACCAGCTTATAAGCTTGACCTTGGCTTGTTATAAGCTTGGTTTTTAAGCTTAACCCAAGCTTGGGACTGGGCTTGTTTATAAGCTTGGTTTTTAAGCTTAACCCAAGCTTGGGTAACCAGCTTATAAGCTTAAACAAGGGTTGTTATAAGCTCAAAGGTTTACTTTTTTAGCTTGTTATAAGCTTGATTTTTAAGCTTAACCCAAGTTTGGGTAACCAGCTTATAAGCTAAACCTTGGCTTGTATAAGCTTGGTTTTTAAGCTTAACCCAAGCTTGGGTAACCAGCTTATAAGCTTAAACTAGGCTTGTTATAAGCTACAAAGGTTTACTTTTTAGCTTGTTTTAAGCTTTATTTTTAAGCTTATCTCAAGTTTGGGTAACCAGCTTATAAGCTAAACCTTGGCTTGTTGTAAGCTTGGTTTTTATGCTTAACCCAAATTGACCATTGCAAATAAATTATTACTATACAAAGTAATCCTGAAGCAAATTTGGACTTATGGAATCCAACTGTGGGGAACGTCCAGTATGTCGAACATAAACATCATCCAACGATTTCAGTCAAAAGTTTTAAGGTTCATTCTGCAAGCCCCGTGGTATGTTAATAACAATATCCTTCACAAGTACAGTGGAATTCCTACGGTTGAAGAGGAAATAACCAAATTTAGTGCAAAATATCTAAAGAAACTTGAAAATCACCCTAATCACCTGGCTCTAAACCTCTTGGACAACAGTACCAGTATATACAGGCTAAAAGGATTCATGTTTTGGATCTAAGCACACGTTTTGTTTGAACAATTTAATTTTCCCTTGTTTAGTTACATATTTATTTTTCTATTGAAATATTTTTAAGTTAGCTCTGTCAATGGACAGGGATTAACTAACGTTTTATTAAAAGTTGTTATTGTATTTGCTAAATGTTCTAAAAATGAACGGATTGTAAATAAAATTGTGATATAAAAAAAAACCAAGCTTGGGTAAACCAACTTATAAGCTAAAACTAGGTTTGTTTTAAGCTTCAAAGTTTACTATTTTTTAGCTTGGTATTTAAGCTTAACCCAAGCTTGGGTAACCAGCATATAAGCTTAAACTAGGCTTATTATAAGCTACAAAGATTTACTTTTTTAGCATGTTATAAACTTGGTTTTTAGCTTAACCCAAGCTTGGATAACCAGCTTTTAATGTTTAAACCAGGCTTGTTATAAGCTTGGTTTTTAAGCTTAACCCAAGCTTGGGACTAGGCTTATTTTAAGATTGGTTTTTAAGCTTAACCCAAGCTTGGGTAACCAGCTTATAAGTTTAAACTAGGCTTGTTATAACCTTGGTTTTTAAGCTTAACCCAAGCTTGGGTAAACCAGCTTATAAGCTTAAACTAGGTTTGTTTCAGCTTTAAAGTTTACACTTTTTCAACTTGTTGTAAGCTTGGTTTTTAAGCTTAACCCAAGCTTAGGTAAACCAACTTATACTCTTAAGCTAGGTTTGTTTTAAGATTCATAGTTTACTCTTTTTTAGCTTGGTATTAAGACTTAACCCAAGCTTGGATAACCAGCTTATTAGCTTAAACTAGGCTTGTTTTAAGCTTGGTTTTTAAGCTTAACCCAATTTGGGACTAGGCTTGTTATAAGCTTGGTTTTTAAGCTTAACCCTATTTGGGACTAGTCTTGTTATATGCTTGGTTTTTAAGCTTAACTCATGCTTGGGTAACCAGCTTTTAAGCTTAATCTAGGCTTGTTATAAGCTACAAAGGTTTAATTTTTTAGCTTGTTATAAGCTTGATTTTTAAGCTTAACCCAAGTTTGGGTAACCAGCTTATAAGCTAACCTTGGCTTGTTATAAGCTTGGTTTTTAAGCCTAACCCAAGCTTGGGTAACCAGCTTATAAGCTTAAACTAGGCTTGTTATAAGCTACAAAGGTTTACTTTTTAGCTTGTTTTAAGCTTGGTTTTTAAGCTTAACCCAAGCTTGGGTAACCAGCTTATAAGCTTAAACTATGCTTGTTATAAGCTACAAAGGTTTACTTTTTTAACTTGTTATAAGCTTGGTTTTTAAGCTTAACCCAAGCTTGGGTAACCAGCTTATAAGCTTAAACTAGGCTTGTTATAGGCTACAAAGGTTTACTTTTTTAGCTTGTTTTAAGCTTGGTTTTTAAGCTTAACCCAAGCTTGGGTAACCAGCTTATAAGCTTAAACTAGGCTTGTTATAAGCTACAAAGGTTTACTTTTTTAGCTTGTTTTAAGCTTGGTTTTTAAGCTTAACTCAAGTTTGGGTAACCAGCTTATAAGCTTGACCCCCCCCAAGCTTTGGACTAGACTTGTTATAAGCTTGGGTAACCAGATTATAAGCTTAAACTGGGCTTGTTATAAGCTACAAAGGTTTACTTTTTAGCTTGTTATAAGCTTGGTTTTTAA